GAACAAATAATAATGGGGAGTCGGTAGCGGAATTATTCGCGGATGAGCGGAATCGTCAATTGAGCCCCACATCAAACGGCGCACACATGTGTGTACGGTTGCTTTCAATCCACGCGTCTAATGTGATTGTTTGCCATCCAATTTCGACTCTTTGATTTCGCTATCAGATTTTGGCTATACATGGCAGGCGGGAATTAATGCGCCCGACTCGTTCCAGAAGCAAAACACGCGCCTGGCAAATTGATTGCCGCCAGTGAGATGTAGCGTATTGACTTAATGGAGTGTCGTCTCAAAGGATTTACTTCCTAATTATATATGTGCGCGCATTTTAGGCTTATGCTTAAATTCTCTTGGGTAGAATTCGCCTTTTGACGGAAAGTCAATTTCCAATCTATTTTGCCCTTGCAAGGAAATATTATGTCGTGTGTTTAATGAATCTTTAGGCCACTTCATTTTCAATATTTAGGGCATATAATTATTTCTTTTTTCAAATTTTTTGCTTAAACAACTATGATTGTTAATGTTTTTTATTTTTCGGTAGCAAAATTAATCTTATTGGATAGAACTACCTCATTCAACGTCTATTGCCATGAATTCAGAAACAAAATAATATTTCTTTATTATTATGAATGTCTTAAAATTTGTTATAGCAAATTAATTTCAGTCTACAGTGCATAAACGGAAAAAAAAGTAGCATTCTGTTAATATTGCTAAATAATTCAATTAAATCCTTACTAAGATTTAAATATTTAAAGTTTTAAAAATATATTCAACAAAATATAGTTATCATATCTAATAGGAGACAGTTGCCAGATATTTTTATTAAAGATCTATATTTTTTTAAATATTAAATTAAAATTGCAAACAAATATATTTAATAATATTAACAAAATAATATGACATTAATTTTATTATTAAAGAGTAAAAAAATAACAAAAATTGCTGCAAATTAACAGATGTAATTTTTTTTTAAATCCAATGTTACAACAGAAAAATCACAAAGAAATTGGATTTAATTTTATTTATTTTTTTGTACAAATATTGATATAGGAAAATGAAGTTTAAACATGCAGAATAAGGAAAGAAAATATTTGAAAATATTTACATGAAAAAAATATGGCAATCGATTTATGCAAGAAATGTGAACGATGACGGACGACACAAAATCAACAAGTGGAAATTGGAGAGGGTGGTTTCGCCACCAGCACCGCTATTGATGGCATTTAAATTGGGCGATCCGCGTTGAAAGGCGATTACTTCACCACTAATTGACTCCCAAAGCACCCCTTCGACGCGGAAAATTTGCAAATGAGTGCAAACGAGATGATGGAATACTTTTCCCATTCTTTTTCCAAATTGTGGTTCAAAATAATAATAATTATCTTCTATTCTTAATTTTAATTAGCAGCAAATCAATCTGGTAAAAAAATCTTTATTAAGGGTTGTTAAAATCTCTTAAATGGAAAATTTTTGTGTGCAGCTTGAAATCTTCGAAATATCAAGTGAATTTGGAGGATTAAAAAACATGTAAAAGATTTTTTGCTTAGGATTTAATACAGCAAACAAATCGTAATAAAACGCATTTAGATTCTCTTAATTAGCTTAAAGTGGCGTTTAAATTTTATGCTGAGCGTCTGGGCCGCGCGCATTATCAAACTTTATGGTCCTCTTCAGCAGTCATTTGGTGTACATTAATTTCGGCGAGCTCGGGTACCCACCGAGTGTGTGTGCTTGCTTTACGTAGGTATACTTCATTCTCATTTATTTGTCGTTGGGCGACATTCAAGGACCACACCTTTTGATAGCGATTCGGATTGTTTGCCGAGATTAGCGCTGGCAGAAGAGACGCGCACTGCAGTATCCATCGAGAGGCGCCAGCGAAGAATAATATTAACTCCTTCATCTGCCTGCTGATAATTTATACGGCCATCTAGCCACGGCTCATTTTTATATTGCACACTGCACGGATGGAATTTCCTAGATAAATAATACGCAGCACCCTTGTGCAAGCAGACGTTCGCCGCCGCTTTGTTATTTTTGTAAATAAATAAGCAAATTAGTGCTTCACTAAAACAAACACATCTTGAACGTCTTTGTTGGAATAAAAAGAGGAAAAGTTGTCGAAGAGGAAGAAACAGGGAATTTAAGATCAACTGTTGAAAAATATAATGAAAGCCTTTTCTGAAGGTTTGACGTTTCTTTGAAGTTTATGGAATTTTTTTTTTAAAGAAAAATAAGAAAATGTGAGAAAAATTATTAAAATAGTAAGGAATCCTTACTATTTCAATAATTTTTCTCATAATTTCTGATTATTAAGGATTAGGAACGATATAATTGAGTAGCACCCAACCAGATGAGTTAGATAAGAGTAATATCAAAAGTAAGCATTTAAAAACTAAAATTTTAAATTGATTGAACTCAAACTATAATTATAAATTAATTAGCTACTGTAAAAAAAATCTTCAATGAAACGACATATAATATCAGGCTAAAATTTTAGTTTGAAAATTCCAGTTAATTTGTTTGACTAAGACTAAAAATTTAAAAAAAAAATCAAAGAAGCCTGCGATATTTGTTTTTCATCTTACACATAATTTAAAACTGAATGACATGATTTGCAATGATATAGCAAAAATAATTTTAATTGATTCAATCAAAAACAAAAATCACAAATACCACCCTATAAATTACTTTAGTAGCCGAACCTTTCTGTATTTGATACATTATCCTGGATTTGCGTCCTCAAGCTCAACTGATCTGGTTCGGATAAAATTTTATGGAGCGACCGCTGCCTTTGGACACGCAGGTGAACAATAAACTGGGAGCAGCACTAGCAGAAATTTCGTATTCCGATTCCGCGAGATAAATCACCATGCGAGAGACGTATAATTCATATTACAAGCATGCGAATGTGCGCTGCGGTGGCTTATAAAATTTAAAATAATGGCACCGTACGTTTATTGTCAACACATAAATAAAATGTCACAAGGCGAAGTGTACGAATATACGTACACCCCACACACATGCATTGTTCTCTCTCTGGTTCGGACAAAGTAGCGATGATTTTAATATTGCTACATTGCAACACATAAATCACTACATTCAAGTTGTGCAACAATTAATAATCAATTTTTAAGAAATTACATTGCAAATTAATTTTGTATTATTAAGTTTTCTATTTGAAATTTTAAAAATTTGTCCTCTTTATAACTACAATTCAGATTTCTTTGGCACAGGCTGAGGAGTAAATGCTCCCATGCAATCATTTATTCGCGCCACCCACACTTGATAAAAGCGACGTAAATAATAAAACAAGCTGCAGAGAGCTTGTACTGTATATAGCAGAATCAAAAGCTCTCTCGGTTTGGCTGAATATATTTCACTGCAGATTAAATCTGATTTGATTTTCAAATCGAATTTATTCACATCCCGATGCATTAACTTACAAATTACAAAACAATACCAAACATGACATCAACAGCAGCCGGCGTGCATGTTTTCGTTGCGCACAGAGATAAATCAGAAGACACTACAGACTCTTTGCAGAGCCAACTTGAGATTAAAATTACCAAAAGGCAAGACCATGATTCAAAAACATTGCAATTTTGAATAGTATCAAACATTTATTTCAAAAGTGTGCCAACGTGAATGGCTTTTGACTTTTGAAACCGGATCTAGAGGAAATCAACAAAACATGGCATTTTACTTTTTCCGCGAATTTACTGTTTTCAGAGACGTAGAAGTTGATATAAAAAGGAAAGTGACGGCATCTGGACTCAAATTGGAATCGTCTCATTTCAAAATGGTAAATCGTGTGTCAGTTATCCGATCGGGTTCACTAGAGTCACCAGTTTCCTTGGCTGGATCTCAAATAAAACCGGCATTGCTCTGACTAGGTGATTGAATGTAATTTTCTGGAAAAAAATTAAATAAAATCAGGAATATTGGATTTTTAACTAAAATGTCCTTGTCTTATTAAAAAAACGAAAAAAATTTCAATGATCGCGACCACATTTTCAAATGTAAGGAAGTGCAAATGAACATGTGAATTGCACGATTTGGTAAACGCGATTACAGGAAAAGAGGTGGTGTAAAAACAGAAAGATGCCACTCGTGCTTAATAATTTTTACGATCCGTTTTTTAAAATCAGAATTTGCAAGGAAAGAAATAATCTCAAATATTAAACTCGTTTTCTCTTTCTCAAAACTTTTGGCTTATCGCTGCATAAGTTAGTATCACGACTGCACTGAAAATGGGCCTAGCATTTCTGATTGTGTGTTGTACATTTCAATATGAAATTGTTTGTTAAAAGTCTTCGCAAAAAATTAAATAACATTTTGCAATATAGCCACTATGAATGCGGCTGACGAGTACATTAAGTGAATAATATAAAAAATCATATCAAACGTGGGCCAACGTGACTCTCTCCTATCAGCGCCTTTCAGAGCCGGACAGAGGAAATTACGAAAACATTTCTTTTTCCATGAAGGCCAATTTTCAGAACTTGCAAGTCGTTATTAGAGTGAGATAAAAACAACACGCAGTGCTTAAAGTGCCATTATTTAGGCTTCCTGTTTAGTGCAATCTTTTTGGGGCACTGCTTCTGCAGGTGTTTAATGAGAACTGTTTAATGTCTTAAAAAATCCGAAACAATGAATAAAAAAGTGAACAAATTTGAGAGATCTCTGTGATGTTGCTGTTTATATTTTTCAAAATTGAATTTAATACTGAATTTAAAAAAAAATCGAACTACCATATTCGGCACTAATTCTGCTCATTTCACAATGAAAAAACAATGCAGCTATCGAATGCATTTGAGTATAATATCAAAAATTCATTTAAAATGTAGCCTTAGTCCAATCGGTGGCTTTTGAAACCGGATATAGGGGAAATGTCCAAAACATAGTGTTTTCCTTTTTCCACGAACACATTTTCTGTTTTCAAGGACTTTGGAGAGGGTATAATTGCGAGGTTAAACAACCCGCAGTTCAGTACAATCATGAAAGGCTTCTTGATCACATGTGTCCTTTTTGGGGTGCTGCTTTTGCAGGTGAAAGCGATGGTTAAGTGCCAAACGAGCAAACTTTATTTCATCTTTCAAAATTTTAGACTTCGGTGCAAGGTGCACCAAATACCGGTGATGTCCTAAAACCAGGTAATTTAGTTGATTAACACGCGGTTTAAATAAATAAAATTACAAAAATCTTCAACAAAAAGACACTGCCGGAAACAGTGGTGGAAAAGTTTCAGCCCAAATCCTCAGTGGCTCCAAAGCCACTCCAAAACAGATCCCTTGGCATGCATTGCTGGTCATTGACTCTTCAAAAGTTTGTGGAGGATCGGTTATTTCCAGCTTATGGGTCGTGACCACTGCGTCTGTTGTTATGAAGTGAGTAAAATATATTTTCCTTGTAATTTACAAATAAAATGTTAATGCAATTAAATTTGCCAGGTCAAGAACTATCGTCATCCATATCGGAGGCGTTGACTACTACAATAAATATGAAACTGGTGAAGTGGTGGTGACCACAAAAACGTATATTGTTCACGAAAAATTCAACAACCGTTCTTATAACAACGATATCGCCGTTGTAAAGATTACGCCAAAAGAACTTTTATTGAGTATTCTATAAAATTAATAATCAAACGTAGAATTAAATAAATGTAAAAAATTACTTGCAGGTGAATACATAAGACCCATCAGACTTCCGAAGAATTCACAAGCCACCTTAACTTTTGCTGGTCTAACTATGCAAGCGTGTGGATATGGGAAAACCGGTAGTGATTGAGAAGATCTAGAAATTAAAGAAAATAAGAGATAATTATTTCAGGTTCTGGAGGTGTCAGCAGTAGCTTGAACTACGTTAATCTGATCACAATGGCGAATGCGGACTGTGTGAAAGCTTTTAGTTCCTATTATGTGATTTCCTCTACTATATGCACCGCTGTTGACGCGACTAAAGCAATTTGTGATGTAAGTTGTGGCATTTAATATTTAGTAAGTACGAAGTTATTAAAAAAAAAATTTTTTTTATCTGAATAGGGAGACGTTGGCGGTTCTTTGGCTTACAAGGAAAGTGACGGGAACTGGACTCTAATCGGAATCGCCTCATTTCAAAATCAAAGATCGTGTGTTAATTACCCGGCCGCATACACCAGGGTTCAAAACTTCCTTGACTGGATCTCCAAAAAAACCGGCATTGTGATCAGTCCGTGATTGTGTGTAATTTTCTGAGAGAAAAATATAAATCAGGAACATTGGATTTTTAACAAAAATGTCTGTTTTATTACATTAATAATAATGAATCGGTTGAAAACTGCGCATCATGATATTATTGCTTGTTTTAAAATAACTATAATATTTATTTATATCTGGTCTATTTACTTTAGTCACTCTTTGTAAAATATAAAAATATTCAAATCTCATTGCATACAATTGTAGACAATTAAGACATTTATCAAATTATATATTTTTTTTTTGCAAACTTCTACTGACTTCTACTATGATAAGTTCAAAATTGAAACTGAAAGACTAATAATGCGTTACGTATTTCAAATAATTTTATTTTTCGCAATGCATGCATTATTCTGATTAGCCTGCAAGATGAAAACGCGAGCAAAACAAACAGCAATCGGTACTAATTCAGCTCCTTTCACAATAACAAACAATGCGGCCGACGAATGGCCCCTATATTATGCTTTCATAAAAAATACAACTCATTGTTTTGTGTATCCGTCGTTGCACGAGAGAGGTTCTATACATAATTTGAAAAATTAGCTCGCGAGATGCGATGCATTTTTTCCGTATGCAAATTTCATCTCGTTCTGTTGTGGCCGGTCGCTTTATATTTTCTCGAGCAATAATAAGTTTATTAGGCGCGTGCATTGTAAAATTTGATTTCTATAACGTACGCGCCGGGCAGACAAAGGGAAGGAGCTACCGGGCAGTAAAATTTAACAATGGAATTTCCAGGCGCAGATGGTTCTTGTGCTTTATTAGAGAGAGGTAATGATCGGATCGTGACATTGTTCTCGGAGGTCATCTCACCTGGTCAGCCAGCCCGGAGGTCCAAATCTTTTGGAGAGCCGATTGTTTGAAGTTGCGCCCTATTGTCTTCTTATAAATAAATTGGATGAATCATTTATTTTTAGCCACAGGGTCCGTGTGTAAAGGATATTGGCAGATTTGAATTAAATTATTGAAAGTAATATTTGAGAATAGATGTAAAAAATATTTAAATGTCATCCAATTATGAATTTTATTTCATTTATTTATCAATTGGTATATTTCAATAAATTATTTAATTTGTATTTTCATTAATATAACAGGAAGCCTCATTATTATCAACATGACTTTTAATAAATAATAATGTTGCCAAAAAGTAGCTTTGAATTGTGCTAAATTTATTTATATAAATTTAATATGCAAAATTGTAACAATAATAGATAATGTTTAGCTCATGATTCGAGAAATACATAAGAATATAAATTAAATAAAATTTAAAAGAAATGATTTTTAACTTATGAATAAAAAAAAAAAAAATTATGCTGATTTATCAAAAAATCGATTGCAAAATGATTATCATAAATTTCCAAATATATTTTGAATTATGTAAAATTAAATGCAAATTATTCAAAGCTATGTAATTCTATTTACAAAATATCTTTTATACTCCAAGCTCGCAGTTAAAATTATTTTCCTTTTGCATTCCAACAGATAGATTTACGGACGTTATTAAATCTATAGCATAATGCACACCTGTTCTCCGCTCCTCTGATAAAATTACGAGCAATGTCGGAGCGTGTGAGTTTGTGACTGCGCGAGAGGGGATTATTTATTTGATGAGCATCAGCAGGAATGCAAAGAATGATAAACCGATCTATCCGTATAGTAAGAAGGAAGGGAAGATCACTCGTCGGATTTATCCTCAAGAGTGCGGAGGCGGCAAGCGAGGGCAGCGAGGGAGGCGATAAATCAGCAGCAATAGAGAGGAAACCCATTCATTCAGCCTTCCTTTCGGATCGGCAAAAAGACGTACGGCGCTGAAAACTTATTTTCCCACACTGACCGCCGGCCGAGGAAGAAAAGCAACAGAAGGAAAAGCTCTACTATTAAGTGGCTTGGCCGGCACTTGATCTGCCCGAAACACTCAATTTTCCATCGAGGGCCAAGGCAAAGGGTGGCCGGGGTTATTTATTGGCAAGATGTAAACCGAACGAAAGGGGGAACCGAATTTATCGGGGAGCTTTTCTCGAATCAATTTATATAGTGGCACCACTTGCCGGATTATTTGTCTTCTCCGGCGGGCGTATTTGCGGAACGAGCCAATTTTCAAGTCGATCTCACGTCAATTCAATTTGATTCATTTCCTGAGCTACTTCTGATAGGTCTTCAATAAAGACTTCATTTGGCCTACTGGGTTTGAACTGATGTAAAAAAGTTTTAAAATATACAATTTTTACTAATCATAAGAATTAATCTACAAGTAAAATTTTAAATATTGATATAATAGCGATAAGTTTATTTAGTGAAAAATTTAACCCAGCTCAATATTTCTATAAAAATAATACAAATTAAAGAGCAAATCACCTCATAAGATGGCAGACCGAAGTTCGCAGTTTTCAGCATTTTACTTTATTTCTATTGTTAGTTCACAGAGTTTAAAGTCGGTTTCATTTTTTTTTTTTTTAATTTACATTTGATTTAATTTTAATAATTTAAGCTTTAAGGTTATTTTACCGGATAGATTATTCTCCGCGGAGGATTTAATGATTATTCCATCTCTCTTTGAAGAATCCTCAACGTAAACACTAGTGCATGAAAGCCTCACCGTCCGCAAATCCCTTACCCGGTGTTTGTACTCTGCAACTTCCATCTTCCCCCTGTTCGATAATTGCCAACTTTCAAGTGCTTCATCAACCGCACACCACATTTTTTCATTCGTTTTTCTTTTAATACATATTTTCATTCCACCAGCGCCACCACTTCTCACTCGCCACTTGAAAATCGGATGCATTAAAAACACATTACCGATATGCATAAAAATCCCTCATCTTTTCCATGTCTGCCGCTTTTTGAAAATAAAATATGTGTACTCTCTACAGATGAGTCGTTCGTTCCCATCACGTTTAAAGCCAGGAAAAAATATAATTTGTATGCGTGTTTGTTTAAGCGAGAGAGAAACAAGTGTGCGCTCTGTATGTGGTGCGGTAGTTGTTGAAATTATTATCACTGTACGATTCCGGGGAGAAGAGGCGGTTTCATTCATCGGCGTTCCTCAAAGCCGCCGAATCTATTTATTAAATTTTGTTTGCTCCGCGGCACTAAATCGGCGGACATATAATAAAGTTTTCTGGGAAATCGGCCCCGTTCCCCTGACTGGGAATGATGTTTGTCTTGTTCGGATTTGTTAGACTGCGTGGCAACACAACAAACACTATTTCCGTACACGGCGGGCAAAGAATGCCCCTAATGGCATATTTTATGTGCGATTTTGAGAAAGGTCTGCGGCTACTGTGCATTGTTTCGTCTGCACCGATTCCTTCGAATCGAGGAAGGTCGAGGCCTATACAGAGGTCAGTCATCCACACACGTGCCGCTGATCTGATACTAATTGGCTGAGAGGAATTTCAAACGCCATAAAATAAATGTTAATTTCACAAACTCTATCTTTTTTATTATTAATTTGCTATTATTTTTGCGATATATAATGTTGTTAAAAAAATTTGAGTTCCATGTAAAAATAAAGTGAACTGTCTAAATTCTGATTTACTTGGTCCTGTCAGTAGAATATTAACTTTAAAATTGTATAAAATATTGGTTTTCTGAATAACTTATCCTTTCATTCTAAAGACTTAAACTGTAAGTTTTCTTTCATTGTTAAATTAATAAAAACGTGAGATGTTCCTACAGACTAATTCTGCTCACTTTAAAATAATCTGATTGAATAGGAATTTTATTTAAATGTGCAATAATTTTATTATTAGTTTTACGTTGCCCTATTTTTCATTTAATATTAATTCTAAAAGTTGACTTATAAACAAAAGGAGTTTTAATTTTTATTAAATTGCTAAAATTTAATTTATTAATAATTGAATTTCAAATTTACAGAAACATAGCACAAATTTTGGTCAATTGAAGATCATCTATCATTGTTTATTAAATAATAACTAATACTGAGCAAACTGTATACAAAAAATTATGTAGATTTTATTGCTGCTGATGAAAAATTTAATTTAGAAAAATCATTCACCTAAACTATTTTTATTAACAGTGGTTGGTGGTATAGTATGGAATTTACTGATCACCAGTTTTTATTAAAAACATGAAAAATCAGCAGCCTCTTTTTTGATCAAAAAACTGAAGTGCAGCAATATATCCCGGCGGGGCACGAGTGGGTAAACCTCAGGTATTTCCAGCAGCGATCGCTTTTATTAAAATCGCAATCCTCTTCAATAAATTCAAAGGCTCGAGTTCTCATCGCACGAGATCCCCTTTCACCACGCGCAGGGTGAAAAATCAACGGCCTCGAGCAGCTGATGGATATCAAAAAGTGGATCGCGAGCTTTTTTGTTAAAATGCGCGCCCCACCTACACACACAGGAAAATCTCTCGATGACAGGAGGAGACATTCAATACGAATGACGCTGTTTTTTGTGTCACTCATCCGAGTAATATCAGATAGGAGGAAGAGCAGCGCCGCACATAATACACTTTCAATTTTTTTAATACTCGTCGGGCACAGAAGCCTTTCTTTATTCATTCGCTGATAAAAAGTAGAAAAAAGCGACGGGCTCTTTTATTTGCCGATGGATGAGAAACGAGTATTTCTCTGCCGGCTGGAATGTCACTTGAAGAAAAGCCGCCGCTGGTGGAGAACGTTTTTGATATCTTTTGTGCTCATCAAATCTGTCGAAGCGATGCCGAGCAATAAAATATATTACGGTTTAGCTCCGCGCGCGGTGGGAATGCGCGCGATTGCCTTTTCGGATTCCATTCTTTCACATCAGGAAATAAACCTTTGTTGCTATCAGGTGGGCAGATCACCAATTTATTTCATAGGCAACAATAAATTTAGCCTATATCATTTGGGAAAATGTAAATTATTATTATATTTATTGCAGGAAGGATTTTATCGACGAATAAAAATAATAAAATCTCGGATCAACTTAAATCCCTTGGTAGTTCTGTATGAAAATAGAAACATCAGCCAACAA